AGGCCTTCGCCTATGCAGTGTCGTTGGGCATGGGCAGCTTTCCCGGCAAAGACCACACCCCCGAGTTCGCTTCAAGTGTTTACTGGATAAATGTACAGGCGGCGTTCCCGGGTGCCAAACAAAACCAATTTACTTTTGCTCTCCGAAATGAAGCTTGAGGGAAATTGGTGCTTTAGTGCTTTATGGCTGCGGTTCGAACTCCAGCATCCCACAAAAGCATGGATCAAAAGCCAAAAGACACGCGGACCGGGCAGACAGGCGGACCTGTCTCACCCTGTTGGGCTGTTGAGCAGATTGTCTGCCGTAGTCATCGCCTCTTTAGACGCCCGAGCTCCGCACCACCACGGAGTCGGCGTATCTCACCGCCACCCATGGCTCCAGCGGAGCGCAGAGGGCACCTCGCGGCCATGTGTGTGGCATGAAATAGGTCGACGTTGATGATTTTTTGCCAGTGGGAGTATTCAGTCTGCAGACTTCTGTTGTGAGTTTAATGGATGTACAATGATGTACAGTAAGTGTATGGTGTATCTTCTTATTCCATGTGCCCATGCTAATGTAATCTGATGTGCGTGGGTGGGGGATTCTTCACCAAACTGGAGAGTGGCGACCACGTATTCAGTGCGACCACGCATCTCGCTTGAAACACTAAACACCAGTGGGGTTGCTTGGGATCCAATAGCTGCCAATGCTGTTCGTCAGCGTGTTGGCCTCTTCTAAGGGAGGTAACTCCTAGCGATAGACTAGTGACTAGTGTATCTGGGCAAACGTTCCAAAATAATTAAAGAAACAATTTATATCTCTGTTCAATCTGTTGGGGTGACTAGTTGAGAGTCACCTGCAAAATCAATGCAGGGTTTTTCACGATGTCTAACCCTTTCAATCCTTCCGAAACGATGCTCTTCCACTCGCTGCACCACCTCATCCCCGTTTTCGGTTGCCACGGTCAAACCACCTCCGGCACTCCCAGAGTCCACATGGCTGACATACACACATACCCCCCACAAACGAACCGTCGACAGTCCACGGGTGGATGCGCAATGCTCCAATCCCAAGGTTTCAAAAACCATGCAAATCAACGAACATCAAAGATCAAAAACACTACCGTCCACCTGACAGCCGCACCGAGCCGAACCAACGTCCGCAGCCGCAGCCTTGACAATTGGAGGAAAACCCGGCGAAGGCCTCATGTTCGCGGTGCAGACTCGTCCGGATTCTATCACCATAGAATCCCTCTTTCGAGCGGGCGTCAAATAAACGAATATTATTCGTCCATTCTGAACTGGTCGCATTTAACATCATTTAACCATGCCTCATGGATAGCAGTTGCCAACGTGCGTCATTGGAACTACAGGTTTGGGACCCTTCAACACTCTTCTATCCAACTTCTTCCTGTGGTCATCCTGCCTTTATACATGCTAGAGCTGCGCGCTGCAATGACAAGAATGTAAGTCGGAACTTAGGTGGAAGTCAACCAATATGTAAGTCATGTCGGACAACGGTGGTCTATGTACGCCTTGAATTGCCATCTGCCTGAGCAATACTGAGAGAGGGAGTGGGTCTGACGGAACTCAAGAGGGCTGCGAGCACAAGAAAAGACCAACTAGCCTCCAGGATTGTAGGATTGAGGACTGGCTCCAATCCGCGGAGATGAAGAAAACCAATCGCGCAATCTTCAACCCGCACAATCCCAAAAGGAATTAGATAGGATCAAGTTCTCTCTATATATATATATACAGTACACGTAGAGACACCGTACATGAAAAAATATGAAAAACATACAGTATGTGCATTGTTGACTTCGGGGGCAATGTAATGCCCTTAAGATCATGTCAACCAAACCGCTTGAATCGCTTGAACGGGTCATCGGTTTCGTTGGCCCAGGCAGCCCAGGTGCAGTGCTTCCTGTCTCGTCTCGCCACTCGTAGGGCGAGGTTATTCTCTGGCTCACCAAGCTAGGCCTCAGCCGAGCATGTGCGAGCGTGCGAGCCTGCCAGACCAGCGATCCACCATTGTTCTAGTATAGCTTCAGAGAACATGAACCATGGATACCCATGGTACAAACTAGCGCATGTCCTGGTGGCTGTCAAATCCCATATCACATCTCCATCATGATTCTCAAAGGAAGTAGTGTCTCAACATGAGCCGAGCGGCGGTTGGAAATGTACGTTGCAAAAAGGACTTGTGAATGCTTGGTCTGTTGAAACACTGTAGGGTAGAGGCTACAAAGGCAAATGTCCCGATTCCCATCACAAAGGCCAAAAGCCACCCAGCAGTCCAGCAGTTACGGGCAACAGGCAATGGGTGTCTCACAACCCCAAAATACACCAAAATGTCAACACGCTCCTTAGAACTTGTTTCCTCTACCTATGCAATGTTGAGCTATCCTTAATTAGACCCCATGCACTGAGTATTGCATCAGTCAACAAAAGAGTCACAACAGGTGCTTTCATCGAGACTGCGCTGGTCCCATCTGCCTTGGCTGAGGTCCAGGCACCGCTACCAAGCAATTGCGGTCCAGGAAGAGCTCCAGGTTGCGAAAGCACCACTGCCTAGTTTTGGTGGAAGTCGAGTGCCTGTCCACCACTACCACCGAAACCAAGGTTGCTTCTCCAATGACATACCTAGGACTTAGGACATGCTCCGAGGCAATGATGCGACATTGTTGGCATCAAGTCTGGTGCGTGTATATGTGTGTGTGTGTTCTGACACATCATCTAGCGGGCTTTCTGACATCCTTTCTGGCATGTGTTCAAGCCTGACATGTGTTCTGACATATCTTCTGGCACGTACTTCTGACATATGCTCTCGCATGAAATCTGGTATGTGTTGTATGGCCCGACCTCTGTTCGGATATGCGTTCTGACATTTGTTCTGTGATTCTCTGAAACCTTCCGTATGTACGTAATAATGTGTTCTGACATTTGTGCTGGCATCAAGTATGCGTGGGCTTTGCCCAAAGTCCAGGGCACACCACACAGCCGCAACTGCCAGAAGTGCAGGGCGCACCACTCTGCAGCCCGAACCGGTAAAGAACAACCGTGCACCACTCTGCAGACCCACCAAGGGTCCAGCGTTCGTCTGGCATGTGTTCTGGCGAGCAGCCCGAACGGCAAAGGCGCAGGAGAGAGTGGCACAAGAAGCGGCAGGAACGCAGGCGGGAACACTGACATAAAGACCCTGACAGGTGGGGAACTTCAAAAAAAGTAGCTAAAGTACAAGTAAGTCGTGTGATGTGGCACAAAAGCGGTCCACTCAACAAAGCCCATTGATGAAAGCAATCTGGACCAAACTGCTCGCAGATGCAGGAGAAGCAATTGATGGATACAACTACTATATTTAAATGAGTTTCAAGACCCTGTTCAAACGGTGCCAAGAATGTGGCATCAAAACAAACCCATTGTTTAAGAATCGCAAGCTTATCAGTCATGGCTGAAACAGCGCATGCTTCTGCCTTCATTTCTCAGGCCCTTGCGAGACATCACCAGAGTTCACGGCGAGCCGCCACCACTGGTCGCCTTAAAGCTCGTGTCGCATGCCTCTCGTGTTGCATGCCTCTGACCGGTCGACGTCGCATGGTGTCGAGAAGTTTTCTCGGTGCCCAACCGTTGCCGAAGGCCCATTCTTCGCTGAAAATCAGGCCTGAAGGTGGCCAAGCTGCAAGGTGCAGCTTGGTGCAAAAAGACACAAAAGGTGAAAAGACCACGACATCTTCTTCAACTACATGTTCTATCCTGTGAAATACCTTGGAAAAAGAAATGTTCTATCATTGTCTTCAATTGGTACCCAATCCACACATCCACCAGTCCTCCAAGCACGATCCTCCGCATCCCGGACCACACCGTAGTCGCCCATGGAGAACGCGGTCAGAGAGAATCGCATCGGGGGACGGTCACCGCGGAAGGGTCGAGTGGAACGACTCTATTATATTTGGGGTGTTTGCTGTCACAGGAGCGCCATCCATTCCTGGCCATGGAAAAGGCAAACGGAAACCCACAAGGTTTCTATGTTGCTTCACTTCTGCATGTGAAAGGAATTTCTTGGTGAAGTGAAATTGTTGTGATTGGGTGAGTCTTATTTACAGTAATTTAAAAGTGAATGCTTTGCTGCATGCAACATTCTGGACGAAAGGATTCTATACCATCCTGCGGCTCACCCATGGTCAACATGTTCTCTTGCAAAATCTGGAGGAAAACGTTGAAAGTAATATCTTGCTCTAATGCATGTTCACCTTCAAACCACCCGGTTTAGAAAATGTCTTCGGCAAGCACCATGCTTCTGGTGTGCATACAATATCACACAATCCAAAATCCCAACTTGTACAACAATGATTCAAAAAGAATGTGCCCAAGCAAGCGCAATCACGTTGCTACACTTTGCCCCCCTTGACATCGGATCTATCTTGTTCCATCAAGCACCAAGCAGCCAGCAACACATCCATCCGGCTGTCCCCTCAGATTCGTGACTGTCCCAAGATCCGGACGACACTCACTCAAATCTTAAAAAGGTGCAAGCGCACGCGGCGCACGCGTTTGATCTCCCAGAAACAATATGGTATGGAGCTATCTCGGGTTGAACCAACGGCATTTGGAGCCATTCTGCCCACGGTACAGCCAAACCTAAGGCCCTGGAGATCGAGCGCTGGTGAATTCCAATGGCATCCAAGACTGTCCAATCAGCCGTGTGCAATCGTCCACACACAGCAAAACTGACCCCAAAGCTCAAGGCTATACAAATTCCAAGCAGCCACGGCCAGGAGAGATGGTCACCCCAACAAAAATGAGGGGAGTTAGTTAGTCCTTCCACAAAAAAGACATATGTGGATCATCACAAGTCGTCACTAATTCTCAATACTGGTTGCCAAAAATTGCAGACTGGCTCAACGATGTAAAACAGCAAGGCCACCGATCTATCTGGCTGGTCGAGAGGCCACCTGAGCAGCTACTCCACCCTCCCCCGCTGCTGCGGATCTCATCGCTCCCCGCTACTCACTGTGCAGACCGTCACAGGACCTCATCTCCAGCCTTCAACGCGAGAGGCCAAGAAAATCTCCATCTCTGCTCACACCACTGGAAATGTCAGTGGATTCTCACCCAGTTTTTGAAAATTCCCATTTGAGAATGTCTCAACATGTCTCAAGTGATGGAACAAATCTTGCACCTGACAAAAATGCCCATTATTCATCGGCTGAAATGAATCAGGATGAAAGCCTGGAAGCAGCCTACCCCACAAAGACCAGACCCAAATGATTCAAAAACGCAGTATGGCAAAACTCTTACAACCCTTTGCCTTTCCCAAAAGCATCGCATGGCATTTGGATGATTGGGATTTGTCGGGATGTCAAAACCAGCTTTCTACAAATGTTGAAAGTCCACCACCTGCTAGATGAAGCGTTTCTACTTGAGTTTGTTTACTTCGTCCCACTTCAAAGGGAATTCATTTGTCACCCCTCCCACAAGAGATTTAAGGCTGGTGTTCGTGAAGTTACGCCCCAGTTGTATAACAGCTGCAGGCAAGAGTGCGCGCAACGCCTGGTGTCTGTGTGTGTACACCTTGGAATCATAGGTCACATGCAGGCGCTAAATTGCTGGGGGCGTGACAATTGATTTCCTATTCACGCCAAAGAAGCTGCAGAAATCAACTGGCAGGATGTGTGCACAAAAAGATATGTACCTCTTTAGTTAAATTTTATCTACAGTAAGTGACACAAGCACAGTGAAGAGTGAAGAGGTGGAAGGTTTGCATGTTGAGCAGTTGACAGTGAAGTGGTGGAAGATTTGCATGTTGACGGGTGCGATTCAACTCTCACTTCTATCAGGCTGTCGTGCTTGCTAGGCTTCGGCTACGCAATATCCCAAGTGTGTCTGACCCAAGAGTGCCGTCCGTGGCCTCGAATCACGTGGCACCTCTGATAGAGCGGCAAGAGAAATATTATGCTGTGCTAGGGTAGAACAGACCTCGTACGGTTTAGTCGGCGATGTTCCATCGACGTGAAGTGCGCCATCTACATTAGTAATGTGGGTGTGCATGGTATGAACGTTGACGGCCCCCCAAAAAAGCCGGTGTGAGTTGCGGGTCAGTACCTGCTTGTTACTCAGGCGCGCAGGCGCCTTCACAGTGGGCTGTAAACAAGCATTGACACCGGGTCGGTTTGCAATTGTGTGGTCTAGAGCAGGTGAAAGAGAAGAACGGCTTGCTAGGCCGAACTTCCCGTCGGGATGGAGCAGGATCTGGGACCCGGACCCTCCAAAGGGAACCGTACCAGAACCTGCAAACCCACCCCCTGACGTCCTCCGTTAGTCGCTTAATCCGGCCAGTGAAACCAAAGCGGTGACCCTGAGCCCAACCAGTCACCACACAGCAACAACACCATGAACAAGCGAGAGCACCCCAACACCCGCCCAGACACACGGGCATGCGCCTAGGCTTCGATGAGGTGGAGGTACGACTTTGTCGGGCATCGTCTTCTTCTCATGTCTTCGTCTTTTGTCTTGTGTGCACGCACACATGCACATTAGTCTGCCCCTTAGCTTCTAAGCTTTTGGCCCCGTGTGTGAGACCCTTCGAATCAAAGGGAACCTTTCGGGTTTTTCAGCACGGGGATGGAGAGGACGTATGAGGCTCCATCCAACGAAGCTCCTCATATGCTCCTAGGATATCATCAGGGACGCCTGATGACGCACCTGCTTCACTGATGACTTCACATTTCCCACTGGGCTCACTGGGCCCCTTTGTTACTAGAATGTAACAATCCGCTGGCCATTGCATCGGTTTTTGAGCTCTGCAGACACGCATTTGTCGCTTTCCTTTGAACTCTCGATATTGGACTTGGAGGTTTGGAGACTTTGAAGATGTTCAGACCACCTTACTTAGCCCTTGTCCTGGTTTCTTTTGCTTTTTTACTTTGGCTGGCGGGTGGCAAACTTAAATCAGCCTCGTACGTAATGTCCCGAGTATGTGTGTGTGTGTGTATGTGTGTGTTCTGCCTCCCCAGAGAGGAACAGCAAGCTGGGGCCATCACCTCAGCGAAAACCAACTTTCCCCCGATTGGAGCGGAGCGAAAACCACACGGAATCGGTCGAGAGAAATGCAGACGTCTGCCTGTCCAGTGGACTCCAAGTTTAGCCATTTAGATGTGGATCCGAATGTTCGCGACCAACTTGCTGGGTTGCTTATGCCTTCCACTCAGTAATTGTTGGACCCCTGGCCCCCGTAGCTTCAGCATCTCGTGTCAAGTTGCGATGCGCCAGGAAAATATGGTCCCCATCATGAAGTAGTACGTGTTGAGGCAGGCTGAAGCCCTTTGGCACCTCCGACATGCTTTGCGATGAAGTGGAAAAATTGTCCAGAGGAAAAATGGGAACACACTTACACTTGTCGACTCAACAGTCCATAATTGGTGCAAAACCTGCTGGGATTTGGGTTCTTCCTTTGTATCCGGTTCTATCCCTCACATGTCTCTCCAGACCTGGGTCTCGTTCACAAAGGTACCGTTAGCGCTCACGTCCTGAAGAGCAGGGCTGGCGGACTTCTTTCGAACATCGTCCCGATCGTCACAGTGAGAGAGAGCTCGTGGTCCGACCCTACAAACAGGAGATACTCATTCAATTCGTGTCCATTCAGCATAAAATGAATGAGACAGGAAAAAATAGGGTGTGTATTGGAATAGGCAGGCAGATCCCCAGACAAACCACGTCTATTGAGTCTATTGGTATCACCAGCTCCTCCACCTGCACATGACCTTCTGAGCAAAGCAGCACACAATGACGGCCTCGCCAAGAGTCGCGGACTGACACGGATACGACCAGCGGCGACGTGCAAGTCTCACGTGGTTCGGCCACCGAGTTGTTCACGCCCCAGACTACTTGCTGCCCAGAAGCCGCTGACCACAGATCTTGGAATGACCACCTCCAATCATCGTGCTGAAGGCCCGTGTAGACTCAGGTTCGAAGTCAAAGGGAGGAACCACTAGCATGCCTATACTATGTGTCATCTAAAAAGCATCCAAATGCCTAAAGGCCCAAGGCCGTCTAAGCGACCTCTGCACTACCAGGTTCAGTGGCAGGTTCATCTGCTTTACAGCTCAGATCTGTTCCTTCATTTCGTGGTAGAGTCCCCCCTTTCGTTGCGGCAAAACCTCGTGCCAGCAGCCAGAAAAGGTCTTCGGCAAATCCCTATCCAGATCCGCTGCATGCTGCACCTCTGGCAAAATCCCCGGCACCGGCCGGTGGCAGCTGGCCGGACTCTACCTGACTCCGGTCGCCTCACAATCTGGACGACGACCCACAGAGACTAAACCATCCTCCGGTAGACGATGAACCTGTCGAGAATCCGAGAGAAAAGCGGAAAAGCCAGTGCAGAGACCTCTTCACATCTCAACCCTTTCAGAAACAACATTCTCAGAAGTTGCCAAGACAAGAATTAATCTGAAGCTGCTCTCTATGCTGAGACTCGAAACTGAGTGCGGGGGATTGAATGAGCTCACAAGTAGACCAGAGTACAGTAGCTTTTGGATTTGCTAGTTTCTATTTTAGGGGATGACTGTCATCCTAAACTCCCAGACGGTCATGCAAGGATCTTCACAGATGAAGACCCAACCTCTCCGCTTGTAAGGTCCACAAGACGGCTTTGACCCACCTGGACGCAGATGACGCGAGTGTGCCAGCAGAAGCACCAATGAACATCAGCGGCAAAATGAGAAAAAAACGGCTTATGTTGAAAGAAAAAGAACAAAATTCACCAAAAAAGAGGACATGTTGTGTGTGTGGATGGAACGGGTTCTTATATGTATATATATATATATATCTATACATGTATAAAGACTCCAAGCTCCCTACGCCGCCCATCTTTTTGCTATGCAAGGCCTGGTTTGTCAGAAAATTGAAAAGTACGAGTGTGAAACCACTCTAAGATACCCGGGGCCGTTGGTACATACACCTCTGTATGTATGTCTGTCTGTCTGTCTGTCTGTCTGACTGACTGTCTGTCTGTCTGTCTGTCCGTCTGTCCGTCCGTCCGTCCGTCCGTCCGTCTGTCCGTCTGTCCGTCTGTCCATCTGTCCGTCTGTCCGTCTGTCCGTCTGTCCGTCTGTCCGTCTGTCCGTCTCTCCGTCTCTCCGTCTGTCCGTCTGTCCGTCTGTCCGTCTGTCGGTCTGTCGGTCTGTCCGTCCGTCCGTCCGTCCGTCCGTCCGTCGGTCGGTCGGTCGGTCGGTCAGTCAGTCAGTCTGTCTGTCTGTCTCTGTCTGTCTGTCTGTCTGTCCGTCTGTCTGTCCGTCTGTATGTATGTGTATGTGTATGTGTATGTGTGTATGTGTGTATGTGTGTATGTGTATGTGTATGTGTATATGTATATGTATATGTATATGTATATGTATATGTATATGTATATGCATGTATGTATGTATGTATGTATGTATGTATGTTTGTATGTACGTATGTATGCATGCAGGAATGTATGTATGTATGTATGTATGTATGTATGTATGCAGGAATGTATGTATCTATGTATGTATGTATGTATGTATGTTTCTCTAAAGCGGTCTTTTCCTTGCTTCAGTCGGTGTGCCTTGCCACTTGCGCTGCAGCCGCAAGTCCTCTAAAGTAGTCCACCTCTAGGATCTCGTCCTTGGTGGCTGTCTCTTCTTCTGCCGTTTCCGAGTGTCCAGAGCTGCTGCTTGGGTCTGTCACAGCCTGGATCTGGTTGTCACCGGCTTTTGGAGGCTTTGGTCCTGCTTTGAGGCTGGGTCTCATGGCCTTTGCAGGTGGCTTCAGCTGTGGTGACTCACTTGTTTGTTTTGGTGAGTGATCTTTTCCCGCTGAGAGGCTGGGTGTCATGGCCTGTGCAGGAGGATCCTCATCTTCACTCTGAGTGAGTTGTGTTGTGAAGTGGATCCTCTTTGGCGGCCTGGCGGGGTTGTTGGCTGCTTTCAGCCCTGCACTGTGAGTGGCGGCGCTCCTGTTCTGCTGTGGATTGAGCTGTGGGCTTGAAGAAAGAGTGGATCGGTGGTGATCCTTTTAGGCCCGCTCCTTTGCACTCCTTGAGGAACGTGGCGCCCCCTATCACCCTCTGTTGTCAACAGCTTCTGCCAGCTCCATTGATTCCTGCGCTGCCTCTTGTAGGTTTCCCCATGGTTGGGTGTGGGTCTCCTGCGAAAGTGCACGTGTCCATGTGAAGGCTCGCCAGGGCGCGGCGTAACACCGTGCACTCGGGTTACCCTCTGTCATGGAGAGGTTCTGCAAAACGCATTCAGTCGTGGACGCATAGGTTTGCTGCATCCTCCGCGCGGCCTGGTTTCTATGGCCTGCTGCTCTGGATGGTAGTGCTCCACCCTTGATCGAGATGACAGCTGGTCCTGGCGCCCCAAGCGTAGGTCCATCCACGCCCCGTTCAAGGCTTGTGAAGACATCAAAATCGTGTCCACTTGAGGTGGTGGCTGTTTGTGAAACATTGAGTGGCTCGTAGGTGTGCTCCCCTTCACCTGTGCCTGAGAAGTCCCATTGCGGTGCTTGAAATAAAGGGTCATGTGTGTTTGTAGGTGACTGTTCCCCTGCACCTTGACAAACATCTGACCGCCCCCTTTGCGCTGAGCCAGAAGCAGCACGGCAAACCCATATGGTGTTTGGATCATCATCAAAATCGTCCCTGGGGACGGGCACCATGATCCCTGAGTGGTCCCCTTGGAAGGTTGGGGTAGTGTTACCCACAGTGTCCTCCTGGTGGCAGCGCTGCCGGCGCCTCTGCTTTGCGTCGCTTGCTGCGCTCGTCCTCGTCGATGCTAGGCCGCTTTAGCAGGCCATGCAATTGACTGCGTTGGTCATCAGTCAAATCAATGCCCAGGCTGGAGACGAAAGTTTCTACCCCCATCGGTATTGGGAGTTCCGCCTCGGCAGTCTTGGTGAGCTCTTCTGGCATTGGGCTCTGACTTACAGCTACTGCTCGGAGAGCGCCTTCAACTCTTGCTGGCCTTCCGTCAGCTTTGTCTGGAGCTCTTGCGTGTCCTGCAGCATGGAAGCGTATTGAGCCTTGATGGCATCGAGCTTGGCCTGTAACTGAGTCTTCTTGATGGAGATGGATTTGAGGTCAGTGACCTGGGTCTTCAACTTCTGCGCAATCTCCTTCTCGGTGTCTGGGATCGGCTGGGTCAGCTTGTTGACCGCGTCCTGGACTGCCTTGGGTAGTGCATTGAGGTGCGTCTGCAGGACTTCAGCCAGTCCAGGTTCCTCTGGTTGGGGTGGTCCAAATCCCAAAGCTTGAAGTTTGCTTTGAATCTCTCCTGGAATGACATCCCACGTAGTGGCAAGAAGGTCAGCTGCCGTTTGCTGGTTTTTGCCCTTCTTTAGCGGCCTGAGCTTTTGGAGGCCGGGCGGCGAGTCCAGGAGTGCTTCAGCATAGGTCTTTTGGGGCCACGTGGCCTTGGTGGAAGCCTTGCTTCGTGAGCCGTGGCCCTGTCCCTTGCCTTTGCCAGTGGGTTGATGAGCATGTTGCCACCAAGTGCCACCCTTTCGACATCTTGTTCCCGGAGTCAGCCTGTCGTCCCAAATCCAGCTGGCGCAGGTGGAATTGCCACACGGAGTGTAGCTTCTGCACCAACTGGATGCCTTGCTTGGTGTCATATTTCTGGATGCTGATGTCCTCAGGGTCGTTGTTTGTGTACAGCTGGTGGGCGACGTGCTCGGCACCGGTCACGTTCTGGCCGTTGGGTTCCGCTGGAGCCTCAATGTTGAAGCCAGGCGAGAAGTGCCAGTTGCCGGAGATCTCAGCCAAAGCGTGGAAGGTGTAGACGTGAGATCACTAGAAAAGGAGTCCAGTGCCGAACAGGAGGTCCAGGGAGTTTATGGCTTGTCTTCCTGTATCCGGCTTTGTATTGGACCGGCTTGGACCACTCGTGGCTTGAGCCATGTATGTATGTATGTATGTATGTATGTGTGTGTATGTATGTATGTATGTACGTACGTAGGTACGTACGTAGGTACGTACGTAGGTAGGTAGGTATGTATGTATGTATGTATATATGTATATGTATATGTGTATGTGTATGTGTATGTGTATGTATGTGTATGTATGTGTATGTGTATGTGTATGTATGTGTATGTATGTGTATGTATATGTATGTGTATGTATATGTATGTGTATGTATATGTATGTATATGTATGTATATAAACACATATTATATTATAGACATATATACATACATGTATATATATATACAGTATATACACAGTATACACACATTCTGGGTCGTTGTATGTGCGATATGGTCATCTGTCACGATCGCATGTTCGCCTGTTCCATCCCTAAAAGGGACGCAGCTAACGACGAACGATCACAACTGCCCGCCTTGGACCGATGCACCACTCTGGCCACCTGCGAGGTCTAAGAGTTGATCGGTCTAACAAGGGAAAGAGGCGTTGCAGGTTTTGTTCCTAGTAGCGTCCTTGCTCCTAGTAGTAAGGCCAGGAGCCCCTGTAGGGTCCTTGCTCCCAGTAGCGATGCCAGGAGCCCCTAATAGCGTCCTTGCAGAAACAACAAAAAATCTGGTGTAAAATAATTTCATCTTTCCAAGAAGATGTGGCCACCCTTGTTTTCGGACTTGTCGCATCTTGTCACTCTCCAGGCTTTGTAATGTTTTGTCACCTCCCTTGAAAGCAAGACATGTGGATAGGGGTGTTCAACAAACTTCTTGGAGTGGTCGTCGGCGCTTAAGACCTGAGGTGTTCAACGCACTTGACACCGTTTTCAATGTGTAAAATAATGTAAGGTTTGCCGAGAAGTGGCGGAACATGACCTACAATGACCCCAAAAAGCACCCTCCTCCAGGAGGAAAGACTAGAAAGCCAAAATGGACAAACTTGGGAGTCTCTGTCTCCGGTCTCTCCTTGAGTTCAATTCAAGAAGGGTAATCTCTGTCTCTGTAGGTCTGCAGGTATCTCCTCAAACTGTAGAGATGCCACAAGTTTGAGTCAGCGGTTGTGCTCCCCTCGATGGGTCGTTTGCACTCTTCAGCGGAGGTGTATGGAACTGCCTGGGGACTATTAAAAATGATCCCAAGCCCAGTGCTGTTCATCAATCCTTCCAAATCCTTCCTATTCAACCATCGTAGAGAATCTAAAGTCTTGTCGCTTCCTTTGGACATACAGTCCCTCACAGGCACACGATCTGCCTTAGAGGGACTCTTGACGGTGGCGGTGCTCTGTGCATCATCCTCCGAGTCCTGACTCGACCGACAGCGAAGCTCCAAGGTGGAGGAGACGTCTGTGAGACTCTGGTCACGCTGCTTGAACCAATCATATCATCCAAATTCCCAGAAAAGAAACCAAAAGCAATCGTCAAAGTGAGGTGTGATCGATGGCCCTTGATGACCAGCCCAGCCAAGATGCTGTTTGCTGGAGACGTAAAACGAGCACGTGGAGAATGGCCCACTTGGATGAAGAACAGCTCCACGTTCCAAGCGGCAATCCCTTTTGGATGAATACTCCCCGGGTCGGGTGTCATGGAAAGCTGTTGCCACAAGTGGCTGGTCCCCATAGACATCTGTCTCTGCATGCGTACATTGCATTACATTACACTACATTACATTACATTACACTACATTACATTACATTACCATACATACCCAACATACCCGACATACCCGACATACATACATACATACATACATACAGACATAAATACATACATACATACAATACCATACCATACCATACCATACCATACCATACCATACCATACCATACCATACCATACATACCATACATACATAAACATATACATATACATATACAAATACATATACACATACATACATACATACATACATACATACATACATACATACATACATACATACAAACATACATACATACATACAGACAGACAGACAGACAGACAGACAGACACACAGACAGACAGACAGACAGACAGACAGACATACATACAGTATCATATTACATAATGTATTCTATGTTATTACAATAATGTGTTTTATACAAGCAAAAGTAATACAAGTACAATATATAATAGTGAATTTCACCAAATGAAAAAGTATATAATATAATACAATACAATAGAATATAGCACAATTTATCATTATATAGATATAGTTATCTAATATGTTTGATCATGTGTCACAGTTTTCAATATTCTGTATGTTATTACTTGATATGTGGTGTGCATGTTCGTACAGTGTCATTCAAAACATCTCAAAACTGAATTGAAGAGTTCGGCCCTTCGTTCGGCTTTTGCCGACTTCCTCCTCCGGCTCCCTCTCTGCCATCGCCGGAGGTGGCGCAGGAGGCAGTGTTTCCAGTTTCTCCTGTAGATCTGCGGAGGAAAATACTGGAACAACGCACAAGCAACTTCAAGCATTAATGAGTGACGAGCCAGCTTGCACAATTATATAACTGTGTGCTGTGAACCCGCTGGGTTGACGAGATGCTGTGTGCATGTGTGTTGAGGCATGTGCACGTGATTGTCAAGGGCTTGGCATGGATTACCGGGAACTTCGGACAACTAAAGCTCTGAATGAACTCCGGTGCATCAAGCCTGAGAAATCGCTTGCCACGTTGGATCTTTGGTCTTTCGACGCAGTCGTCTGAGCGGGAAGGACTCCTCGGCGCAACGACTGTCAGCGACTATCGCGGTCGGCACCTTGATCTTCAGAAGCTGACCGGTTCAGAAGTCACCGTTCCTTGCGGCTGGAGGGTGTTCGTTCCATCGCCATTAATATAAGTGGTTGTCGCCATTATGTTGGGGTCCGCCCGAAAATGGAAACGTCCAAAACAGCGAGCCCAAAATGGGGCGCGATTTCACGAAAGCCCTCGGTCGATCCCGGCACCTTCAAAGCCCGCTTCTGCCGACTCTTCTCCTGAGTGTACAAGCTACTGGCTACGGCCACCCCTCCCACAACATGGCAACGCTATCTTTGGCACCTATCCTACATTGTATAATGGATTTCAAGTCCAATCATTCGAGATTGTGCATAGCCAGTTGTAGCTGTTCCCTTTGGAATCACATGTGTCATGATGTATATAGCGACATCACGGTTAGAGCCGGATTCGGAAACTAATCGGTCGGATTCTGAAACTAGGGTTCTGAAACTGGGATTCTGAAACTAAGGTTCTGAAACTTGGGTTCTGAAACTGGTATTCTGAAACTGGGGTTCTGAAACTAACTGGGATTCTGAAACTGGGATTCTGAAACTTGTATTCTGAGACTGGAAAGTCAGATTCTGCAACTGGTATTCTGAAAATGTGATTCTGAAACTTGTATTCTGAGACTGGAAAGTCAGATTCTGCAACTGGTATTCTGAAACTGGGATTCTGAAGCTGGAAAGTCAGATTCTGCAACTGACATTCTGAAACTGGTATTCTGCAACTGGTGATCTCCACATTCTCCACATCATGCGATAGCGTGTGCCTGTGACTTCATCTTCGAAGCGCATCCAAACCAACGTCATTAGCCCCCCACCCAACCCCCCCACCCCCCCAACCCCCCCTTGTCCCCATCGTGTGATCTCGACATCACGCCAACCCCCTCACATCATTCACAAAAGTTGTGGAATCTTAGTGAGGGAATCCACAATTTTGCGGAATCCTAGTTGCGGAACGCCAGTTGCGGAATCCCAGTTGCAGAATCCTAGTTGCGGAATCCTGACAGTTGCGGAGTTGCGGAATCCTAGTTTCGGAATTCTAGTTGCGGAATCCTAGTTGCGGAATCCCAGTTGCGGAATCCTAGTTTCAGAATCCTAGTTACGGAATCCCAGTTGCGGAATCCGACCAAATAGTTGCGGAATCCTATTTGCGGAATCCTGCGCAGTTGCGGAACTCCACTTTATCCGTGACATCACTCCTCCTACATCTTTCAGCCACTTACCCAACTTGGGCTTCTCGCAGGACCACATACCCAAAGTATACAACTCCCAAAACAACTACTGACAAGTCAAGTCATGGAAGCTGTCCTCGTGTTTCTTCTCATTTGGAATGTCCTCTGCTTTCTTCTCCTTCGTGTCATTTAGTGTCTCTTCTGCCTCTGCCTTTACTTCCTTCTTCGATTCCATCTGCGCCTTGACCTTCTCAACATTCACCTTCTTGAGCTCGATCTGACACAATCGGACTTCGAAAGCCTGGCTTTCTCGCGATGCCAAGGTGATCCGATCTCCATCACCTTGTCAGAACGCGGTCGACGGGGCCTTGTCGAACTGGTCCCGATGGATGAAACAACTTGACATCTGCGACACGCCGTGGATAGAATGTCTGTGTGTGTGTGTGTGTCATGAGTCATGGGTTTGAGTCAAGGGAACCGCCCACACATGAAATGATCTATTCCTCGCCAAAGCTATGGGCTTCAAGCAACCTGGATTACTTCCCACTTACCCATCTACCACTCCACTCCACCAACTGAAGGCCTCAAGACCAGCTCGCCAAGTAGCTCAGTCCAAGCTCTTCCCCGCTCTTCAAGTGAACGCCATTCACAAAGGTGCCATTGCTGGATAAATCACGAAGCACCAAGGAGTCAATCCTGGGAGGTGTGGGGGCATGTTTGTTCACGCTTCCAGAGTAGGCATTCTATAGGACAGCCGCTTAACTGATGACTCTTCGACAATTCTTCCTAGCTGGTGTGCTTGTACAACGCAAAGCCGAGCATCTTGCTTCCTGTCAAAGACGTGATGATACAATGCCTTTTGCTCACAGCCAGGTCGTCAATGCAAATGTCGCAGCTGTTGTGTCGGCCCATCGTCAAGCTGCTTCCGCGAGGGACCAAAGCCAGGCGAGTGTCATGGTCGAGGATCTCCCAACGAGAAACCAATTCAACGCTCGGCTCCTCTACAACTGCAGGTGCATCATTATAAGAAGCTCTATTCTCAAAGCAGCGCCTGGTGGTCGTTCAATGTTGTGAGTGAGAATGGGATGGCTGTTGTCAAGTCATTTTTTAGAAAGACAATGAAACACATTAAGCTGAGTCTGGTGCCACAAGTTGAGGCCAGGCTGTGATAATGTAGGATAAATAAGGGTTGTAGATGGTTGTAGTATGTTGTAGTTGCAGCTCAGTAAGGTATTGTAGACTCTAGACATCTCTAGACAATGTTTATCGATCAAACATAATCGCTTATCCCTCTGTCACTCATTTGACTCATTTCCCTGTCTGAGAGCTCCTCCCATTCTTCTGGGTCCTCCTTCGGTCCCACTGGTTCTGGCTTGGACTTGGTGGCAGAAGCTTCTGGCTTCGGCTCAGGCTTCTGCCAGTAGCCAATCCCTCGACTTGGAATATATGACGACTTCTTGGAAAGTGAGACTCCAGGATTTGGCATTGACAACCCCAGAGCAGCTAGGTCATGTCGGAAGTCGGCCGCTTTGTCCAGCGCTTCCTGGGCAAATTCCCTGCCAAGCCCCACGGAGACACGACCTGGAGTGTAAATCTCTTCCAAGAGCATGGCCACAGACTTTGCAGTTGTCGCAGGCGACCATTCTCGAAGCAAAGATCGAGTCGCGTCTCGCAGCATCTCGGCACGTTCGCCAGCCCAACTGAAACAAGGTCCTCCACCAGCCGCAGCCAGAATGGCCGCCCCTAGAGCATCAGCCAATCCTTTCACCTGCGCCTGTGGGGCGGACAACATGGCAGCAGCCACAGACCTGATGACGTACAACTGCAGCTGGGCAACCTCGCAGCCTTCTGCTGCCAAGCTGTCCTTGGCTCGGCCCAAACGAACCTGCACCAAGCGCACCGCACGCGAAGCCGTGGCCGATCGGGTCGAGCCACCAGCACCACTCATGTAGAGTCGTGCGGCCAAGAAAGCTTCCATGGCCTGGACCAGCAACGCAGCGTGCCCGGCCGAGATCAGCGGTAAGGTGGCAAAGAAGCGAAGCAAACGGGTGCACAGCACCGCTCGGCGAGTGTGCAAACGAACACTACCGAGATCATCTCGGTGGACGAGATCTCCTTCCTCTGCCGGAGAGACTTCCATCTGGCCCAGGGACGTATAGGCCTTGTCAGGGAAGCAAACACGGAAAGAATGGGAACGCTTGGAGCATGCTGGTGATGTTGCAGCATGAGCAACCAACTAAGCTGCCGGCCTCTTCGATTCGCCTTCGTTTGGTTGGTCTCTGAAGCTGGAGCTTGCCATCATTCTCGTTCGATGGAAACCGGGAGCAGCAAACCTTCCGGCACTGACACATCCCACACCATCGCAAAAACTGAAGAGAAGGAACATCATCATTGGAATGTCTTTAAAAATAATAGAAGAACAACAAACAAATGCCTCTAGTAACTCTAGTAAACCTCTGCACCAGCTGCACACAAATGTGAAGGACTTATCTGGTAATTGGCAAAATGTAATCAATATAACAAACCTAAATCGTTGTCTTTCATGATAAAAAAATCTCCATTTGCTCCCGCCGGATCCCGCCGACTCCCGCCTCCAGCGCTTTCCCCAAAAGCCATGCACCAGCCGCACCCTCCAAGGACCCTCGCAAGGCCACGCAGCAAATCCGGTCCTCGTATGAACCGCAAGTTTGATCAATCAAAATTCCCATCTATCATCTGCTGGGTTTCGAGGAAAGGGTGGAGTCCAAGAGGAATGGAAATCTGCTCACGAAAAAAACCTGAACTTGAACCAATATAAAACCAAAGCAAGAAAGACTGCTGTGGTCATCTACATGTCAAGCATTCCGGGACAAAGAAGTCTTGTGAGTGAGAAGTTGAGTACTAAAACCGGTGGAAAGAAGAGAGAAAGGACAATGGTTCTTTGAGTGAACAGGCATGAAGGCCCCATGGCCCCATACCGCCTGGTTTCTTACATTGCCTTCGTCCTCTTCCTCAACCCACAAAAAGTGCACCTAACAGCCTGCATTCCAAGCTATGATCTTGCAGTGTTTACAGTATATATGCATCTGTATATACAACATATGTGTATGTATATAAATAATACAGTATATTTTTCAGTATGCTACACCCCCCCCAAGACCGACGTGTTCATTTGCCATGCACAAACTTTGTAGTCAAATGGCCCTTGTGCGTTGTGCAGAAGTGAAAGGGTGGATAAGAAACCAAGGCAGCGAATGGAGCACACACAGAGGTTTGTGTGGGGGTAAAGGAATGAAGGCAGCAAATGGAGAACACAGAGATGTGCGTGCCAGAGATAAACATGACGGCACTCTGAAGTGACTTTTTGCAGAAGGGCGCCATAGAGTCATAGAGTCAATAACTTATATAGAAGACAAAAGCAAGTGTGCCTCGCTTGCTCATTTGCTGAAATCCATTGAAAGTATTGCACCTTGCTGTTATATAATGTGCTTTGAAGCGCTTTAAAGCATTGAGCAAAAATCCCCATTCAAGTGTAGCTGCATGATATATATGCATTCAAATGCAAATGCATGATCAGATCAGATGTACCATGTATTGATTCAACTGCAAATGTATGCAAAATTGTCGGTCCTGGAGCACTGGGGGAGGGGGTACCATGTGTGAGTGTATATATATATAGTATATATGCAAAAAGGTCTCGAGTGTAGCAAGTGTCCGGGCGTAAACAAACATGGAAACTGTGAGGCTGGGCTGAGAAACAATTCGTGTCTGCAAAGTGTTGCCTTCCTACCTGAGCGTCCATAATTTGCTTCCAGAGTGTCCCAAAGTGCAGCTCGCAAATGATGAAGTGCTTTCCGCCCAGGCTTCGCGTTCTTTTCCTCCAACGAGATCAAGAGCCTGTCGTGGCACAAGGGTCAAACGCAACAGATCAATCAAAAAGCCCTTCTGCCTTTAGGAGCCAAAGTTTCTCTGCGAATCTGTGAGAAGCACACTTGGATACAGTTGGTTTAAATGTCATATGACTCTGGAGTTACATCTCAGGCCCCACCTGGCCAACGCAAGGCAGGCTTGCTCTCGCTTTGGCTCCAGAGCAGATGGATATAGCAAGAGCACGTCACAAATGAAGTGTACTGAAAGCTCCTCTGATGTCAATTGTTCGGTCTGAAGTGGTTCCAAGTTCAAACCTGAAACTGCGTGTTTGTCGCGCATTTGCAAATCCCAGTTGAGGATAAATGTTCACCCAACCCCATTTCTTCCATTTCCAGGATCCGCGAGGCCCAAAACATTCGACCATTCACCCCCTACAGCATGCATAATACAACATGCATGAGCTGCATAAGGCATCATAAGACATAACTTCACAAACAGTCTTTGTCTTCACAGAAGGTGGCGCTTTGTTGCCATTAGAACCAACAGGGTGTCGTCCGCGGACGCCCGCGGAACGTCCGCTCCGCCAGTCGAAGGGAAGCCAACTCTCCAAGCTCGGACTGTGCCTGCGAGGTCGACGTCGCTACCACGATCCGGGCATGACGTGTGTATCGCGGGCTCTCCCCACCTCTTTAGCTGGCATGAGCGGCATTTTTGGGGGGTCAAAGCCAACATTAGCCAACTATAGCCAGAAAGGAAAAAAGAAAAGACTGCGGATGTGGCACATGGCCCTAGTTTCTAGCTATGCCGCAGCATATGGCATATACCCACTACTGACATGGGAAAGCATGTTTGAATGATCAAAAGAACGAAATGGTCAGCTTCGCTTCATCCCGGCCGGGCATTGTCCCAAACGACGACAGCCCACATCCCAGCCCGAGCTGCGTCCACCTCCAAAAGGCCCCGAAAGAAGTCCCAGTGCGCCAAGGCGTGCTCCTTGCACCCGTCGCGTGGAAGTTGGCGGAATTCCGGTGGAAGTGTGTCGACAGAAACGAGTTTGTCGACAGAAATGACGGGAAAGTGTCCAACTGTCGGTTTTGTATTTGCCTTCACTGAAACAGGCACAAAACCCGTAAAACCCGTGCGTCCTGGCTCTTGGATGCATAAATGGCGATTCCATGGATCGCAGCCACCTGCCGCATGCCGGGATCATGAAAGCAGGAGAGGGAGTGCAAATTGGAAAAACACTAGGGCGTAGATGCCTCCGACAAAGGTAGACAGCTAGTTTCCTCCGGCCTGGTTGTTCAAGGGCTGCTTGCTTTGCACGACAGGCAGCAAGACCTGCACATCAACGAAGCAAAATAGGAAGCTTACTCGACGGACCCGACCGGTGCGTGCGATGGAAAGCCGACTCGTCTAAACTACTTGTCCGGCCATGTCCAGCAGCTGGCTTTGCTTGGAGTCTCGCTGCAGCGGGCAGCGGCCTCCAAGGAATAAGAAGTTTTCACGCAGCCACGCAAAGAAGCTACTAGTAGCAAGTGCATCGGTATTAGGAACAAGGTGCATTGCTACTAGTCTTCTTCAAACAGAACCGACGGGAACGAAGATAGTGTGATTGAGCTGTCAGTCAGTCCATTGATTTGACCAGCCAACTAACCCAACAGAAACAAAACAACTGCCACAAGTGGTTTTCCCACTGATTCACTGGTTCTTGGTAGCGAACACAAAGCTGAAGGGACATCCTCTCAGTACCCTGCTGTAACGCAGCCAGCCGGTGGCCAACAGCAGCGCACGAAGGCAGCAGTGGTTTCGCTGTTCACGTGCCGCCTCGCCGAGAAACTCTGCTGCAATCCGCCCAAGGGTTGATCGAGTCAAAAATCAAAATTGAAAGGCCCAGGCTCATGTCGTGCGTTCAAAGTTCAAACCAAAGCATGTCGGTCCAAAGTCCTGTACTGAGAATGACCTGCGAAGATGTCCTCTACGAAATGATCAATGGCTACTTGAGAGACAGGATCGACCTCCATCTACACCAAAACAGCCAAGACTTTCAACTGAACTCTACTCTGAGCATTTGAGACGTTGAGAGGCCTCCATATTTGGGGAACCTCCTTATGATGTATGATGGGGTGTTACAATTGATGCCGCACCTCTATCTCTGCATGCTTCTCCTCTAGTGCCTGCGCAAAATATGGTCTGTCATGAAAACGCCGCTAAGAACCCCGTTGAACACAAGCCCCAAAGAATCTCGCAGTGGCATCTCAACCTCTTGGCCTGCTGAACTCTCGCAAGAAGAAAGAAAACATTCTTTCATAGAGTCAACTTCCTCTGGCCGATGGCCTTCTCGTTCTTGGACTCACAGTCCAAAGCCTTTTGGGCAAAGCTCGCCTGGAGGCGGCTGTGACTTGTTGTTAGGTCACTGGCGGTCGTTCCAGCCTGCGCCCAGCGCCTGTCTTCGAGATCCTGACCAAGACCAAGTCTGATTGTTTCATCCTAGGACAATACACATAGATGACTGATGGGCACCCCCCACCACCAGGAAACACCTGGCACGACAAGGGTTTGGGGGCTGGAAGCCCTGACACCGGACACCTGAAAATCCATGTCCAGGAAGCCTGCAAAGAAGTCGATCTCCAACATTCTCCAAAAACGCCCTGCAGTCTTTGTGGCACTGGATTGAGGCCCATTGAAAGCAGAGCAAGAGAGACCTCCAAGCCCTCAGATGCAACCATAGCAAAAAGAAAGAAAAAACCACTTGATCACAGGTCCTCAAAGACCCCAGCATGAATAGATACAACAAGTCCATCTAACCTAGGGAAGGCAGTAAGCTCTGTCGCATTCAACTCACGGTCGCTCTCCTGCCGAATTTGCTCCACCTCATCCTCTCTTTCAAGAAGCACCTGTTCTGCCTCATCTTGCACCTCACGTGGCAAGTGGGAGAGGAAGGAAATGGCTCCAAAATCGTACCGAATGCCAGAAATCTAATGTTCTACCACGTTGTCCAATGATAAAAATGACACGGGCGACTTGCAGATCAATGCATGTCAATACTGCCCAGAGCCGGAAAGCAACCTTTCCGTTTCAACCTCATGGGTCAAATGGGAAATCAGAGTCGAAGTCCCGCATGTGTCCAACCTGCTTCAAGCTGTGGAAAATGGCAGCTGCAAAGTTGGAGAACCTGGCTGGTCCAACAAAATCCAGAGCCCCCTTCCTGTCGGCAGCATGGCCTAGAAGTGCATTGAAGAACACTGGTGCCACTGCAAACACAAACAGAAAAGTTCTATGATTCAGAAAGATAGAAAGTCTTGTTGTTAGCCTTTTCACTCAAACGCTAATGATGAACATGTATATAGACAAAACTTAGTATATCTATATATATATATATTATATATATATATATACTTGGACTTGGGTCTGCTCTCCGCACCAATCAGGCCAGTCTTTCCAAACCTCAGTAACAGCTGCCGCCTGGAAAAAAAAGACTCTTCCGGGAACATGACATCGGAAAATTGCGACAAAGATCCATCACGTCATCATGTCCATGCCGTCAACGTGTTTGAACTACACATATATAGATGGGAATAGTTTGCTTGTCTATAGTCATGATCATGTTATATACATGATATACATATTATACAAGTACACACAAACTCTCCTTGTACCATCTTTCTCGTTCCATGCGGCTGCACCTGCTTTCCTTCTGCAGAAGCAGCACCCTCGGCTGCCACCTCCGTCGCAAGGAAACCCTGGCCTGCAACTCCACTTTGCTCAGGCCTGTATTGTCACCTTTCACTCATACGCAAAAGCAAAAACAATGCTTGCACGTCAATAGGAGTATATATATATAATATACATACATCCTTGACCAAAGAACCATGTGTTTTCCTCTACTAGCTAGCTGTGGAGCAACAAGGCAGGAGCCCAGGGTTTGTTTGACTTGCCCTGTGCCAATCTGGGAGCTCCCGCACGCCGCAGGAGAAGGATGGCCTCACCAGCCCAAGCAAAGTCATCCCAAGACATGTCTCTAGTTCGCATCCGGCCCCTTTCAAATGTGCAAAAGCGTGAGAAATGTCAGATTTGCTGATCCTGTTGCCATCTTACATGCAAGGACTCTACTAGGGGCTCCTGGCCTTACTACTAGGAACAAGAAGCTATATAGGGGCTCCTGGCATCGCTACTAGGAAGCTATTGGACGCTATTAGGGAGAAGCTAATAGACGCTATTAGGGTGTCAAAGTCTCAAAGCTCAAATGACTCCCGCCAGCTCGAAGCTCGGTCGTTCTCGCGGCCACTCGTCTCCCAGGAGGCTTCCCCTGGACTGGGTGCTCTGAACCCAAACGACGGCGGCTGTTCTTGTCAATTGAATTCAATTGAACAGGCTATGAATAGCCTCGCCAGCTCCAAAGAGCTGTCAGAGCTGTCTCTGTTCGTTGAGGAAAAGCCGTGATTTATGCGAAAACTACGCCTGTTCATTGTGCACTGCCCTGTTCGATCGATCGAAAATGACCGCCAGGCCACGGGAATACACCATCTTCAAGAAGCGCTGTGCTCGCGAAGTCCACCGACGAGACCTGAGGCTCTGACGAGAGATGCACCAAAAGCACCCAAGAGGGTGCGAGGGGGGGTAGGACGCTACTAGGAACAAGTGCATCGCTAGTAGTAACAAGTGCCTTACTAGTAGTAACAATGTTTGCTATTAGATTACTAGCAAACGTTGTTACTACTAGTAAGGCACTTGTTACTACTAGCGATGCACTTGTTTCTAATAGCTTTTTGTTAAGTATGGAACGCTGAATGTACCGGGATCCAACAGGCGGTTTTGGTGAACCTTCAGAGGTTGATGAGTCAGAAGACACCTTTAGAGACATTCGTTATATGAAGACCAGAGGACAAATAGAATATCATTGAGCCACTGAGCGTGAGAGGTTGGATGTGAGAAATAGGCGAGTGCCGCTCATTAAGCTGCTTAACTAAAGAATTTGCCAATAGAAAAGGGTTGATGAGGGCTACTTGTCAAATCTTAGATACTAAGGCAAGCCTCGGCAAGCCACAAGAAAACCCGGACGAAGGGGAAAAGGATTATACTGTACTATCCGTCGGCTAGGGAAAAGATTTAGAAAGTCAAAGACGAAGCAAACCTCCAGTTCCAAAACAATGCAAACTCCACCTAGATGACGCTAGCTGCTGCAGTGTCCGACAATCACACATTGGATCAAAATGCACCGTAATAAGAAAGTGTGTCCTACATAGTACTACACGGTCCAAGAACAAAGAAAGGCAGGCTGAGAAAGGTGAATCTACTTGCAAGATTGTACCCCATTCTCAGTCCTGCCAAATCCACATGCATGTGGCCAGATGCAAAAACAGTGAGTGGACTACCCAAAACTTACCACTAGGAACAAGAAGCTACTAGGGGCTCCTGGCATCGCTACTAGGAGCAAGGACGCTACTAGGTGGGTGGTGGCTCGTGCAGGGACACTGGTCGCCCACCTGGAGTGCCGCTCCAGCAGCATGTGCTAAGGCGTGACCTTGCGCACTGTCGTGAAGGAAGAGCATTTTGAGAGAAGCATCTCATCGAACTTGGGGAGGGTACACAACCCAGGGGTTCATCACTCTGTCCTCTCATCAAAGGGATGTCTTTCAAAGCAACCTTTCAGAATGTGTCCCAGGGAGTCCACAGGTTGTTCATGCGTCACTCACTTCTGTAGAATCTGTGCACCACACAAAATAGCTTTAAAAGCAGCTAAACATCTACAGCCACGTCGACGAACTGTTCACGGCATCTTCACTGGGTCAACCCACGACCAGGTGAAGCGGGAGGCATCTGACAGACCTCTGTAACAGAGGCGCTGCTTGGTCTGTGGAGCCGACCGCAATGACATAGGTTGGTCCAAAGTGACGTACAACTGACGGTCTCTTGAAACCATCAATCAAGGCGCTACTAGGGGCTGGCATCGCCACGAGGAGCAAAAAGCTACTAGGGGCTCCTGGCCTTGCTACTAAGGTGGAAAGGGTGGGTCCATCTGTGCAACCATGGGAGAAGTCTTGTGCTTTGGTCTGCCTCGGTCTGCCTCGGTCTACGGGAGATGCTTGATGTGCTGTAGGTGCTGTACATGCCATTGAAAAACAAAGCATAGAAATGGGGTTAGCGGTTAGCCTTCTAGAAACATGCACAACATTACATGCTTGAAATACAAGTACCACGTTGAAACCGAGGGCTTCCCTGGCAAACCGACCATGCAGCATGAACCGTCCAACCTGTTTCGGCCGGCCCTTGCGCACCAAGAACACCGCCATCGGCCCTTGGGGCCCCACGAGAGCACAGTTCAACCACTGGCAGAGCTTGAAGTGCACCTTAGCCATGTGCAGGGTGACGACAAGAGCTGCAGGAGTCCAAGTTTGCTGGTGGGAAACCCCAGGTGGGGAGGGGGAATGAAGGGTTTCCCAGAGACGTGAGATTTTGATGTATTGACTTTATTGACCCCAAGCATGAGAAGCATTGACTACTACCTCATGTGCAATGCATAAATTCCTAGACCTCATGGATCCTTGGAAGGTGAAGGCGCTGTGCCCCGGATTGCCGTTTCACCTTGCCCCCCAAAACTAACGCATAGAACAACTGGTAAAAACAAGTCCTGTGCTGTCGAAGGCTCATAGAGTCCATAGGTGGGAGCCAATTCAGACCCATGTCGGCAGTGGCTTCAATGCACACACCCAGCAAATGTCCACTGAAATCCCGAAAAGTGGGAGGAGGGTTACGTCTCCAGTAAGCTGTAGCGGTCCGAAATGGCGAGCGATGTTGAATGATTGGGTCCGGTCCAATGATTATCTTCTAAGCCTCTATGCGGGGTGACTTTTCTATAAATGTTGGAACATAGAATCTTCCAACTGTTGGAAGATTCTATGTTCAATAATCTATATATACGGGGCGGACTCACTGTAACAGGGTGTTCATTTTCCAAACGATTGCACCCACAAGCCCGGCAACACTGTCGGCACCTGTGCAAGGTGTTCCGGATTGCAGCCTGGATGCCAAAGCGCCAAAGAATAGCAAATGGTCTAAAACAAGAACGGGGGGGGAACCGGGGGAACTCGGTTCCGTTTTATATACTGTGTATATATATAGTTATATATATATAGCATGATATATATATATATACATAATTATATATCTATACATGCCGCAAGACTGCGAGAATCTAGGTCCTACAAGCATGAGGTGCTAAGCTTTGGGCCTTGGATCACTGGATACGTTCATGTGCTGTGCGGCGGGGGTCAGACGTGAACCGAACTCGTCATCCTGTGTCTGTGGTTTCAGCTCCCGGCTTCGAGTGGAGAGTCCCCCCTTGTCGATAAGCCCCGGCGCTCAACAGCGCCGGGGTCCTCTCCTGCCTTGCAACATGCTCATGCAGTCTTGCATCTCAGCCACCTGACCAGCCGACAAGTCGATCCAAAAATGGCTTTGAATCCCCGAACAACCACCGTTCGGGCGGGAGATGGACTGAAAATAGACCCCCAGCAGTTCTGTTTCAGGCCTTTCAAGCATCAACATCTTCAAGGAAATCCAGACTAAACAATGGGCTCGTCTCATTCATCTCCAAAGGTTTGAAAGAATGGCGTGCAAACACCCTCTGCAGGTTGCAACAATTCCGTTGTCGGAGGGTTTCAGGAAGCCAAAAGCACTCACGGCCAATTCCACATGATCATCTTACTGTAAGTGATCTTATATAATTAACACTTCGGTACCTCTTGGTCCTTTCCAACTCAGCTGGTTGGCCCACCATGTGCCCTGCATTGGGAGCATCGCCCAGCAAGGTCCCCAGGGTCACGGTGATACGCGCCCACAGCACTTGTCCCTGGGCGAAACGAGTTTTTTTTCTGGCGGAGGGAAATTACATGACCATTTGAACCATTTCTGTGGTCTGATGAGCAGTGTGAATCTGCCTGCTATTGTCAGGACTGTCAGGAGGGCTACGACGCCGTCCCGACGTGCAACTTTCCAAAAGGAACACGCCTCGAAGCTAGTTGCTACCGATGTTCTTACTAAGTGCATTGCCAGGTCGCAAGGACAGCACAATATTGCTTCAGCACATATCATCAATATCCTTTCTCTTCCATGTGCTACGTCTTGGCACTTTGCATGGCCGGTTGCGATCTTCCGTGCGACCTAACAGCCAACTCCAGGCTTTCTGGCCATCGTGGCATCCGGAGAAGAGGCGATCTCAATGCTCTTGACCTTGAGCTGTGGATTCGTCAGAGGAAGTTCCACTTGCATGTAGGTGATTGTCGAGATGTATGCTTAGGATTCATCCCATGGTTGACATTCCAACTTGAGCAAGCGTTTAAAACGTAAGTTGATGGCAAGCGAGATTGCAAGCGCATGGGAACTTCAGACTTTGTGTGTGTCACTTGCGTGAGCACAATTTTGACCGCTGCCACGGCTGCCTCCAACCCCAGCGGCACACAGACCGCCCACCAATCCCCAATCCCAGACCAGAGCTCCAGGCTGGATCGAAGCAATGCAAAAGCTGCCGCAAAGCACGAGATGAGGAGCCCTCCTGCCATTGCACAAGCGGAGATCCACACTTGATATAGGCTGCAAGAAATCCTGTAATACTGTCGGTTATCGGTCAAGTCCAAATCCTGCAAAACCAACAGTTAATATGACATCATCAAGATAGTCTACAAAATGTGTCAAAACACTTGTCGAATTTGTCAAGACAGGGTTTCTCTGCAACCAAAACTTGCAAGGCGGCCCGAGCCTCTATTTCCTCAAAGAGCCCGTTCGGCTGGTTCACCACGGCCACGATGCCATTGACCATTCGCATAGTTGATCCTCTGGTGACCCGAGGTGCCGCTATCCCAGTTCAGATTGACCAAATCAGCGCTAACCTTTCCTTCCATCCAGGCACATGTGCATTGTGTATACGCCAAGCATGCATTACTTTAAACATCTGTCCACGTCCACAGGTCTTCTTCCCCGAAACATGTCTTCCTGCAGTGAGCTCTGCGTCGTCCAGCAATAAGGCCCTGGAGGGGGACTTGTAGCGTTCACCAAGCTGATGCTGGAAACGAACAGAACATGATGCACGAAGCACTGAAAACGGTCACCTGATGCAGCTATTAGTGTCACTTGGGGAAGGTTTCCTAGCACCAATTGCTGTAGTATTGTCTCCTACTGTCGTACATCGAGTCTTGACACCGCAACCATGGCCGCAATCATCTTGGCCGTTGACAGAAATGTTTCCCTTACTTGCTAGGTTTCTCAACGGCCTGGGAACGTGTCAAGCATTGGCGGTAAAACTGCGTGGGAAACACCAAATGATCAAACGCTTTCGGCCTGTCTCCGAGCTGCTGCACATCAGCTACAAAGCATCGCCTGAAGTCACGGTCGGACCTTTGCAGAACCTCCAACAGAAAAGTTTGAAAGATTGACATCCTGTTGTCAGTTTGATTAAGCTAACATAGCTGCTGACTTTCCCGACTTCACCATTCCGCCACGCCCTGGTCTTCGAGTTTCTGGCACAGCGGCCAGCCGCACAGAACGAACACGATCCTGGTGTACAGCGGCCATGTCCCGTCGTGTCCCTCATGCCCTCGACTGTGGTGGTCCCAACAGCCCAACCATAAGGCTCCATAATGGAATGAAGCCCTGCAAAAACAATCACAATTACTTTACCTCAAGCGATCTCCACCCTGAGAGGTTGCTTGGAAGAAGGCAAGTGAAGTGAAAGTAGGCATCAGGATCTCCATGAGGGAAGTCGCGGTCCGTCCTCGACCTCGTTGTGGCGCAAACTACTGCATTGGCTAAACCAAAGCATGCAACCTACACAACACGTCGGTTCTGACCCAAGAACACGTTTTGAGTTCACAGCCCGTTCTCCCGAGTCTTGTTGGACATAAGTCTCACAGGCAAGTGCGGCAGGATCGAGTCGCACCCAGTTTCTCGTTTTGGGACCGAAGCGAACTTAGCACGACACCTTTGATATAAGCGGAGACGATCCCGGTGCGAAAAACGTTGTATCAAAGAAGCGACCATGCCACAGGAAGCGCCACTTTCCGGCATTCTCTCTAGCATCTGGCATACCCTGTCACATTCAAACTGGGGGCCTGCCACGCAGACCCTTATTGCATCGACCTTTGGGGAGGTACTATGTGCGCCGACATAACGCGGGCCAAATACCATAGTCCGACGCCGGTGAAGATTGAAAATTAGTTTTTTAGCCGTTCTAATCGGAGTCGTACCGAATTTTTTGGGTTCTCAGCGCTTGGCCGCTCACACCTCATCATTGCCGCCATGCCACGGCCGATTCTCTTTGTATCCCACTTGCGTTGCCATTCAGTGCGGGACCTGCGCAAAACGGGCAGAGCTCGTTCCCAACGAAGCTGTGCAAGCGTCATCCGGGCCCAGATGAGCTTAGCCTTGTAGTAGGCTGTGAGGCTGGGCGGGAAATCCACGGCGTGCTCTTCAACGGCTTGCTGCAACTCGAGGTCAATGCCCGGACCGGTCTTCTCATGAGTGGCCCTCTTTCTCAACCGGCGCAGCTTCACCTCATTTCCGGCTGCATCGTGCCCCCAACACACAAAATGGTGGGCCAAAAAAGAAAGTAAAAGCCGAAAACTGTGCTATTGCTTTATTGAAGAAAGTTTGTTGCTGGGGTGCAGAAAGACGGGCTGGGCACAAAAAAATCCCAGTTGGCTCAAGCCCGGGGAAAAAGAAAAGCAAAACACAAAGCCCAAGACCAAACTTGAAGTCCAGGCAGAAATTGCTCGTCTATGTCAGTGTGCTTTATAACTCTACTTCTAACCGTGAAAAATCTTGAAAACGTATACAGTATATAGGCATGGCTTCCTTTCTGGCATTGTGTTTGGCATATCTTCTGACACTCTTTCTGGCATTCAATCTGGAATATTTATTGAAATTCTTTCTGGCATCGGGTCCGCGTGCCCAGACTGAGCTTGAGCATCCTAGAGTGTTCGGGTACGTGTGTGTGTGTGTGTGCCCAGACCGAGCTGGAATTTGTATAGAATTCGAGACTGAGCTGGAGCTCCTATCATGATCATCCATGCCGTGGAGCTGGCGGAGGACAGGAGCGGAGGAAAGGAGGAATGGCATCTTTCATAGAATCTAGAGACCCTCACCTGTCAGGTCCGGGAAGAAAGAGGCAAACGGTAAACTAGTCATAATGTAAACTACTGCAACTGAAGAGGGTAAACCATGAAACCCTGCAAACGAATGCAAACTACACTGTTTGATACTGTTTGATACCCTGGTAGTGATCATCGACGTTTGACTGCTAAGTACGTGTCACCATGGCCCATGGCCTTAGACATCTCGATTCCAACTCCACGCCGTGGTTTCTCGCGCACCGACATGTTCTAATCCCCACCAAAACACCCCATGCGTTACCACGCGTCAGCGCCTCCAATCCACGCAAGACTGCCTCCCGCCAGGCAGTTTGCAAGGAAGCTCGCCCTCGCAAGGAACCCAAACGCACGCAGGCACGACGGTAGTGGTGGTTTCGAGACACGCGTGCCCACATCGTAAGCTGGACCTTCGAAGACTTGGTTCGCTTCGTACAGAAAATGGAATAGTACTAGTAACAAGAAGCTACTAGGAACAAGTGCATCGCTACTAGGAACAAGTGCCTTCCTAGTAGTAACAAGAAGCTACTAGGAACAAGGTCTGCGGTGGCTTCATCGAACGCCCTTGACTTGACCCTCTCTAGGGTTGCACGGAGTGTTTCTGTGCCGTCTATGCAGCAAGGTCAAGATGTTGACGTGTCCACAACTGCGAGCCGGCAAAGCATTGGTAAACAAGCAACTTTCGCAGCCAAGATTCTAAACCCATCAAAACTGCAAAAACCATATTAAATTAGATTAAATAAGTGTTGGATGCAGTGATGTTGATGAAGATCCTGCTGGGGCCCCGGCCTTTCCAACGATCCAGGCGTGCCAGGTGCGTCAGCAAGCGCCGACGGACCCGTGGCGCCATGTCTAAACCTGTCTTTCGACGTGGGCGAAGGCGGCGAAGGAGACAGAGAGTGAAACATGCAAAGCTATAGAAGACGATTCAAACTGCTCAAGACCTTGTTGTGGTCCCAACTGTGTCTGAGATGTTGTGACTCAGGACAGCCGGCATGATCAAGCCCTCAATGCATGAAACTTCTCCCAACATAGGGACATAACAAACGGAAGATTTTGTTGAAGGTGGAACAATTAATTCAACAAAACGAGTAGTACAAAGATCCCAACTGAGATCTCAGCTGGCAGTCGTGATAATCTCCAAATCCAGCCAGTCGTGCTCATGATCACCTGGCATGTCACTGTTCTATGCTGTTGGGTGTTATGTGCATGTGTGCAAACATATCAAGATACGTTTATATATATATATATATTATTTATATATATATACTGTATATGTGGTTTTTATTGTTATTTTATACATAAATATACATAATATGTCTGTGTTCAGGCACGTGCGGGGCAGACTTCTCGAAGCAGCGAGCCTTGAGCTATGATGGCAGAGGCGCAAGCAGCCCTGACGCATTCATTGCGATCGTTCAAGGCCTAAGCAGTTCAGCTGCTTGCGGACCTCCCCCGTTTAGCCAAAGAAGGGAACAAAAACACTTCGACCAGTCGTTTTCCTCAAAGCTGGAGACCTTTATCCTGTCTTTGTCATTGAAGTACGTTTGGCTTTGTACGCCAGGCTACGCCAGGCCACTAGGAGTCTAGGAGAAACTGTCTTAGAGTCCTTGCAAAGAATCATTCCCTCAAATACACGAAGTGACTTACCAGCTATGGCTCACACGATTCCTCTCTCTCTCTCTCTCTCTCTCCGTGCAGGGTTTACACTGTTTACACGATAAGCTCCAAGCTCTCTGTCGCAAGACCTGTGGAGTTCTGAAGTTCAAAGCTGAAGCGTCTTGGGAAAGCTGGCATGTATGGCATTCAAACGATACACACTTCACAGTTCCACAATGCCTACAACATGCTCAAAGACCAGCTCTACTTTGGCCACAAAAGAGCGTGCAAACAAACCACATTTGCAGTACACGATCTAACTATGCCTGTGACTCACCGTGATTCATTATATATATATATAATAGTAACTACATATATATATATATATTGTAGGGCAGGAAAGCTTCCCGCTGGTTTGCACTCTCCCATTTTTCTCTACCGACATGCTTCCCATGGTTCTTCAAACTTGCTTCCATTGCTCGTTGCTTCAGGGTCGAAGTAGTCATGCAGAAGATGCACTTTGGTTTCCGAACACACGGAGACGACAAAGCAAGGTGTGGTCCTCGCCCCAGTTGCGTTGAATGCGAACTTGGAGACCACGCACCAAGCCTGTCGGGCCCATCTGATTGGTCAGATCGAAGACCTGGCTCCCTCCGTGAAATTCGAATTCGTCAATCTTTACACTGTAGGGCTCATCAATGCCAGTAGGCCACGCATAGACCTCCAGGTTTCTCGGGCTGGCACGTGGATCCAAAGCCCAGCTAGGGGATTGCTCGATGGCCACATGACTTGGATGCACGGGGCGCCAGAAAAGGATGGACACTTTGGCACTCTGACCTTCAAAGGCAAAGCACTTGGAGGGAGGTCCAGTCTCCCAGGCCAGCACCACTTCTGGTGGATGCGAGGCTCTCAACCACATGCGCCAGTGAGGGGCGAAGGAGGTCATCACACGAGCCACCCTGCTCCAGAAATTGCGATGAAGACCCAGTGTGGTGTGGCTGTGATCAATCTCCGCGCCAGCTTTCCAGGCTGCCCAATCAACACCAAGATCAAGCATCGGATCGGTGGACATAGCACGACCTTCAGCTCTTCTTTGTGCTGCAGCTTCTGCAGCCTTGGCAGCCACCCATGCCTTGCGCTCCGCCTCTCGGGCTCGCTCAGCAGCTTCTACGGCAGCTGTGGTTTCATGCCCTCCATGCGATATTGTTGCAAAAGCTTCTTCCAAACGCTGGAGTCTTTTCCAAGCTATTTCATTCAAAGCATCAGCAGCTTTCTGGGAATCCGCTGCACGTGATGCCTCCATTGTGACTGTGGGCAAAGGCATCGGAGCAGCAGGAGCAGCCACATCAGCATCAAGAAAAGCCAAAAGAGCAACACCCAGCACTGGAGGGATACCAGTCGCAGCGGCGCAAAGGGCAGCAAACGCCACACCCAAGCGTTTGGTGCCACCTTTCTTCGCTTGCTGCATCCCCGGCTGCACATGAAGCTCCTGGAGGGACCTAGCAAAGCCCCATGCGCGCGAACCTGAAAGAGCACTCACCATTCCACAATGGCAGGGGACAGGCTGAGACACGATCGGAAAAGATCTTGAGCCAAACAGTGCTAAGTCTGCCACCATGGTAGTTGAACAAGAAGCTACTAGGGGCTCCTGGCCTTACTGCTAGGAGCAAGGCCGCTACTAGGGGCTCCTGGCATCGCTACTACCAGTAGGAGCATTCTTGCTAGTTGAACAATCTTCCATAGGCCCTAGTTATTTTTCAACCACAGGGTCCTGTGCGTTGTGCGCCTCAAGAGTCTCCTTGTCCGTCGAACAGCCCAGGGCTTCCAGGGCTTCACTGGCCTAGGTTTCGCTGACGTCACCCAAAATCACAGAGTCTCCCACAATCTCATCACAGTGTCCCACAAAAGTCTCATGTGATGTCTATTCCAGCAGCTCGTCGTTTCCCTACGTTTCAGAGCGCTCCTCCATGGGACCAACAGCCACCGGCTCGGACCATTTCGACCGGGGGCGCCGGCCACGTGGCGCACGTCGGCACAGCGGTCTGAACATCGGGCCTCGCTCCAGGGACAAGGGTTTTCCAGCCTTGGGTGGATGTGGTGGACATGGATTCTTGGGAATCATGGAGAGCCTGAGAACCTCAAAAACCCCTCTTTTTTGGAGTTGCAGGACGAGGGATGGTTTTTCTGACTCAACACAAGGTTCTGACATGTGGTTGTCGGGTATGGTGGGTTATGACTCCCCCGATCAGCAGCTGATCAGCCCCAACTGAAGCAGAATCGTAGAGTTGGGTTGCTTGCCTTGAACCCAAACCCGCTCCAAACAACATTCAGCAAAATCTTCTACGACAGATTCAGATTACCCAACAGGTTTGCGGTACCGGGCAGCAATCAGTACCGAGATCAGCACCAATAGGACGGACATGCAGCAACGTTGTAGCCTGGGGACGGTGCAATGGCGGATGCGTTTGAGCAAGAACTAAAGGAGGCCGGCGAGGCGTTCGAGGGTCAACTGGCAGTGGTTCCATTGGTACGAGTATCTCTCGAACTCTGGTGAATGAAGGAAAAATTAAGAATGAGGCATGGTATGCCGCTATGCCATGGCATGCCTTGAACATAAAATGTGTACAACAAAGTTATGAACAAATGAAGAAGGCAAGGCCATCCGCCAAAAAAAAACCGTCTTACCTTCCTGTTTTCCTCTCTTTTTGGTAAACATCTATTAATATACATCTGAACAACGTGGGGAGCATCTCACGGCTGGGCTCATTGCTCTTCCGGGAGTTTTGCAAAGCCTGGAGTTGACACTCCACGATGGAGCTCTTCCATTCCTGATATAATTGCATTATTTAATTGCTATCTGCTATGATTGCAGTTTACAGTCTGTCACCGCCTTTGCCTGTGCATAGCAATGAAGTTGTTGGATTCGGCCAACAGTCTTGACTCTCGACCAAACTGTTCCATCCTCCGCATTACAGGTCACGGAAAGACGAAAACTCAGTCGGAAGTCCGTGACATGGCGTCATGTGGTTCACCCATGTGGGTTGCTACGTCGGCATCTGATGGGTCTTTGCTTGTTTCTTCCTCCGGTGCCAAACCCACCCACGAGCCTTGGCTTGACAATGCCCGGAGAAAGCCATCAAGGATAGCACATGCCTGAGCATCCCTTGCCATGAGTTGGATGCTTACTCGTCGCCATCGGCGTTCGACACTTGTTCAAAACGAGGTATCTATGACTATGAGTAATGTGTCAATTGTTTTCCACAGGTTCGCCCTTTCAAAACATGATGCTTGGAGCTCCTCGTGGTCAACAAGAAACACAAAGGCAAATAGACTTGAGGGTGGAAATGAGATGGGGAAACTGGTCAGGGACAAAAGGCAAAATGAGCAACGCACACACACACACACACCTACTAAAAATCGTCCATCTTCTCACCCGCTTTGGCACGCTTCCATGTCTGTAGTCATCAACTCTAAATTGCAGCCAATTTCACTCTTGAGATCCCCTTGGTCCACTTTCGTTGTTCCCCCACACCTCAGTACGTCGATGCTGAGCCAACCCACCCGCCAGCGGATGCCTTTGTCCACCGCATCGCCAGGTGGCGCCCGACCTGGGCTCGGTGAAAGTTGGCAAAATGGAAGCAACGAGTCAGACAGAACCCTGTTTCAATTTCCGCTTGTCCCTTTGCCAAGACCATCTGAAAAACCGCCTTTGTCCAAGGTCTTGAAACCCAATTGAGCAAAGGACGGCTGCCAGTGACATCCAACAACCAGCAGAGAGTCTGAAGCGTTCCGTTGGCAGTTGGGCCCATAGCGAGTCCCATGCAGTCCATTCCAAAATATGCCATGTGTTCGATTGGAGAAAAACAACCAGTTAGAACATGTTAGAACAACTTCCCGGTTTTGCGGAAGGTTCATCTATTCACATACATTGCGTGGCAGTAAAGTAAAACCATCTCCAACTTACCAATATTCATAAACAATGGTTTGAGCTTGTATTTAAGGGTGGTCGTTTGTACCTAAGCCTCTGCAAGGGTGCAGAAGCAGCGGACATGTGCATTCTCCAAACAAGATCGTAAAATGTGTGCCCAGGAAAAAGAAAAAACATTTTATGCAGTGCCACTATTTGGATGACAAACTGTGGCACATTAAGCAGAACAAACCATAGGACTTCCAGCTTGCGATGTGGCAATGGACAAGTGCCAATCCAAAACTTCAACTGAGCCGTGTTCTTGGTCTGTGGGACAGCCACTAGGTACTCATACCTCCGGGAAGCTTTCGCTAATTTTCTCCCCAAGCAAATTTGCCTGCGCGAGGGTGGTGTAAGATGTTGTATGTAAGAGGTGTTTCCGCAAAAGGTTTCGCAAGGTTTTGTGTTAGCTTCATTCTATAAAGCACATGCATGAAAAACACGGCCTTCGCAAAATGCCTTCGCAACGAAACACGGTAGACTCTACGCGAAATGGCTACGCAAGCCTTCGCGCGTCATGAAACACGTGAGGAAATGCTGCCATGACAAGAGTTCCTCCTAACATGTAGCGCTGTGTTCCAGGAAAAAAAACGCAACTCAACTGCCCGGGAGCCCTCCAAATTTGTGGTCACACAGTGGATATCCGGCATCACACAATGCTTTTCATCCGACAAATCCTTCCCAGTGCCTCTAGCTGTTTGGGACACCTGGCAGGACAGCTCTGACGCTGGAAACCGATGGACCCGACAAATACTGATCACCAGTGGTTCAACGGGTCCAACAACCCTTGAACGAGGAGGCGTGCGCGGAGAGCTGCGCGTGGGTTGCAGTTGTTTGAACATCGTGATTCTGCTACTCCACGGGCCTCCCACTGCGAAGAAGGCCCCCCTATCATCAAAGGTCCATGACCTTTGCGGTAGCCTCATTGGAAGTCAGCTCAGTGACCAAACCACCATCCCAAAAAAAAAACGTGGCGAGGGCTGCGAGGGCCGCGCTTCAAAGCCAGCAGCTCCCAAAGCCTGACTCTGAAATGGTCCGACCTTTTGGGAGATAACCTTGCAATTTTAAGGGACAATGGCGGGGCGGGATACATTGCTTTCATGGCTATGCGGCTGTGTTTTCAAAAAAAAATGTGTTGTTTTTTCTGGTGCTCTGCAGTGCTCGTGACCAACAATTCAACAATCCATTCATGGCTCCTGCTCCAGATGTTCATCAACTCTGCTGTGCTCAAACCGCTCCGGATTCGCGACGTCCAGAGTTGAGGCTGCCGGCCCTCAAAGCGTTGGCGGCTGCCAGGGGCCTCTGATGTGGGGTCGCCAACAAACGAAGCCTCAGTCGATGAAGCCGGTCCAAAGCCGGTCGCATCGATGAAAATCCCTGGAATCCACGTGAATTTCCATGTCGGATTGGGGCTCCAGTTCCACCGTACATGGTTTTCTCAGGTTGTTTGGGTCTTGGACGTCTTTCTGGTCATCTGCAACCAACTAAATGCTGAAATGTTCCCTTGGCTGCAATGAAAACATCCATCAAACTTTGACTTGCACAGAGTCTGCTGGAGCATGTAATCGTAGCAAACAGTCTTGACTGCAAAAGTTCGGACAGCGTTGTAAGAGTATGTGTGTGTACATATATATATATATATACATATTCCTTATATTCATTTATATATATATATATATCCGCCGACCCCAGCCGGGGAGCGCACCAGAGGACACTGCACGAGAAATCGGTGACAGACAGACAGACCGACAGACAGACAGATAGACCGATAGACAGATAGACCGATAGACAAACAGACCGACAGCCCGACAAACTCACAGACCAACAGACCAACGGACCAAAAGACAGACAAACAGATTGTGGAATGAGATTGCGTAAGAGGGAAATTGTTTGGGAACCGTGGAGAGAGGCTAGCGGCTAGCACACAGACAGATTGGCTAGAGAGAAAGACCTTAGACATAGTTTTCGGATCGGCGTCAGAAAGCAACGCTTGGATGTATGCAGAGGCCTTCGGGGAACATTTTTGGAAGACAAAAGCACGAAGAAGGATAGATAACGGTAAGACAGGATCGAGAATGGATTCAGAAAAATTGTTCACTGCCGGTAAGAAACGTTTCGAACTGACCGATAAGCTTTGAGGGCTATTGTCTGTGCATTTTTGGTGTGGAAGTAGATTGGGTAATAACGTGGCCGGCGAAGTCGTCACGGGCAGATTGGGTAATAGCGTGGCGGATGAAATCGCTAGTTGGAAGAAGGATAGATAGGAGTTTCAAACGGGATTGAGAATGGATTTAGCAAAGGATTTTTCTTGCCGGTAGAAAGCTGGCACAGAGATGCGGAATTCTGGCAAATTTGCTTGCCGCAGCCTGCTGTTCAATTTGTCGAGGGAAGCATCGGAGGAATGCTTCGCACGGGGAAACATCCGCATCACTATCGCATCAGTGCACAGGGTTTGCCTGCTTGAGCATGGCACGCCTGCCTCAGCTAAGGGAAGCACATTCTCAAGTGAGAAAACATGGGATTCCCCGGCGCTCTGCTTAAGTACTGGCCGTCCTTGTGGTTGTTGTCGTTGTCGTTGTTGCTGTTTTGATTTGCAAGAGGCCCCTCAGGGCGCTGTGATCAAGACGAACAGACACAGCCAAACCTGACAATTACCCCTGACTCTAGATATTGACGCTATATTGCCCTGGCGCTGCCATGTGTGTCTTGACCGTGCTTTCTGGCATCGCTCTTTCAACATGACCACTTGGTTGCCGATGATGCCTCTCATGCGGTTTTCCTTCCCACCATTTGCCTGCAGCACTCTTCGCGCAAAACTTTAAACGCGCCGTCCGTGCGCCACCCGTTTTTTTTAATTTATCGGCGCTTATGATTTTTGGGCGGCATTGATCCTGTTACGGCGGGCATTTCCGGTGAGGTTGCGCAAAGCAGCCTCACTCTTCTTCAAAAACTCTTGTTTTGAGTCTGAGCATTCTCTTCGGGTGCGAGTACCACGCGAACAGCCTATCCCTTGTTCCGCCTGAGATGTGCTTCAAAGAATCAGAAAATTGCCTATGTTGGCTTTCTCAGTGTTTTGTTCATTGTTGATTCATGTCACAACAAGTTGCGATACTCTACAAGTTCGGGACTGTTCTTTAGGGATTTACACGGCGTTTCGATTGCTCGGTGTCTATGCGTGGGCTTGAAGCACGCTTGTCTTCAGCCGTTCTTCGACAACTCTCCCGCAACTCCACAGAATCCAGAGCCCAAAGATCTGCCAATAAAGTGCAAAACGTTATCCTAGGTTGCACTAGCCGGCATCCTGCCTTTTGTGATCCCTGTCATGGCAGCGGTGGCCAGGTTGCGACCCGTGCAAGGATTTGAACACGTAGCCGCTGGAGAAGAAGAGATGGGTTTATTCCGAGACTCGGCGGCGTTGCTTTCAGAGAGCTGGGAGGTTGCAGGACCCAGCGTTCAACGGTCAAGATCATCAGGCGGTCGGGCTTGCTTTTTTGGTCACCATGCAACGAGCGCAACGAGCATCAAACTCGGCGCAGTGGTTTTTGATTGCTTAAACTTCAACTTTGGGGTGCTTGAGATGTTCGGCTTTGTTTCCCCAGAAGGGCCTGGTCTTTGTCTCTACAATAGAAACCAGATTGCGTGATCCATGTGATACCATGTGCGTCATCCCCACACCACTGGAGCCGCAATTCACCGTGACCCGATTCCGCTTTCCAATCGCTCGCCCGAACTCACCATTCGGCAGATGGCAAAGAGACGGGCCAAGGGGTGGAGACCTCAGAACGGTCGAGGTCGCCGCCCAAGAGGCGAAGAGGTTCAGGCGGCAGGGGGCGGGAGCCCTTAAGTATGCAAATAAAAGAATTAAAACAAAGTTAAAAATAACAAAAAAAATAAACTATATTTATGTGTATGTGTGTAAATATGTGTGAATATCATTCAACACGCTCCCCTACACACGCCCAGATGTTCGGCCTTGGGCGCATTCCCGCGACGCTCCCAAGTCTGCGGGTGGCTCATCTCTGTACAGTGATTTGCCACTGCAAATCGCCGAGCGATACATTGAATTTTGGGACCACCAGCGACTCAAGGATGCCCAAGCCAAGCAGGAAGGGTTTCCTCAAGTCCTGCGATTCCTCTCAAAATTACTGCACAGAAATCGCGCACCTCTGCATTGGGCCACATGCGCACGCATAAATCAAGTTGCACCACGTGCACAACAGCCTTGGGTCAAATGACATTTCCAGCGCAACTGCCACATCCTCGCACGCAGCAAGGTGCCTCATTCTAATGTTTAAGAGATTGGTAGTGCTCTAAGATTGACCCAGCAACTGCCAGGGCTGCAACAAAGTCGTCTGATGCAAAGCTCTTGACGATTTGATCAAACGAGCTACTTTTGCAGGTAACATGTCTCCTCACATGGAGAGAAGCCAAAATGTGCAGGCACAAGCGCATTATGTGTATGAATGTATCGGTTGCATCAAAAAAATGTCATATTCGTGGAGGCAACTCATAATTCCAACGATGAGATTGTCTGGCAGGAACATGTGTGTGTGTAACCCTTGGAATCATAGGGATCCTTTCGGATTGTTTTCGCTTCACAGTTGTTTTCCTTGTGTAGCAGGGGGACTGGAGCCGATTTGCCTATCCAGTCCAACGAAGCTATGGCATTTCGGCGGATGAGTGGTCTGATCAACCACTTGTACCTGCACAATTTTTAAACCTTTGGTAAAGGGCTAATGCACTCGGCAGACATGAACGAACGTCGTCAG